AATAAAATGAGAATACAACCATAAAAACCATACGAAAATATACCGCTAAGGAGAGGCTAATGGCTGAGAAGTCAACTCTTATTTATGGTCTGATTTCTTTCATTTTTGGTGTATGTTAAGAAGCATATTTTCATCATACATTGCCCAAGTTTCAATAAGATAGTCCAACAAACAACTGAGATCCAATTCCCTAGATCAAGAGCAAGAACCCCCTCACCAGTGGCAATTAACCTCCCTTGAGGCCCGCTCACATCTGGAAATTTTGCTCGTGTCTGGAAGCAAAAAATCAACCTAGCAACTGCTCATATCTGGAAAAACTCGCACGTGGATGCACTCGTAAGTAGATGTTCCACTGTATATGTATTATCATTTTACGTATTATTATTATATGTATTATTATTATTATATGTACAGTGGTCCCTCTCACTCCTCTCATCCAGCCCATGAACCAGCAGGTCATTTCTAACTTCAAAAAACTCTACACCAAAGCAATGACAACTATTAATGCAATCTGTTGGAATTAATATACAGTACTTATTTGTATACAGTACATTTGTATTATGTATCATGTTACAGCTATAATTGTATTCAGTGGACCCCCAGTTTTCGTCCTTATTCCGTTCCAGAAGGTTGGTTGAAATCCGAAATGGACAAAAACCGAAGTAATGTTTCCCATAAAAAATAATGTAAATCCAATTAATCTGTTCCAGACACCCAAAAATATTAACAAAAAATAAATTAAGTTAATAATAGAACTAGGCATTAAAAAGCACAAGAAAAAGTAAAATACATACACAGTACATTCATTACTTAAAATATTTGTAGACTTAATATAGGGCTGGAGGTGAGCATTATTTATTTATAGGAAGTCAGTGTAGGTAGCCGGTAGGTGTAGCCCACCTGGACTACACCTACCGGCTACCTACACTGTGGCCCAGAGCCATATTACCATCGACATACCATGTTCACTGAGTTTACTCATTTCTAACAACTACCTTTAGATGCCATCATAAATAAAGGGAGAAGTAATGAATAATTTATGCTGAGAATTGTAAACAAAAGTGTTATGTATTAAGAGTGGTGACTGGGCCAATGCACATTCATACATGTTTTTTCTAATGCTGGATCACAGAAAACATATTGTTTTCCCTTCACCGACTACCACCCCTCCATAGCATATAAACATTGCATGTTTATATGCTGTATAGCATGTTTCTTATATAATTTTGAAGAAAATATCATAGATGGATTAATGAAAATGTCTAACCTTCCCATCCATACTCAAGACAGCAAGAGTCACTCCGATCCTCAAAGGAGGTGATCCAACTGAATTGAACAATTATAGGCCTATATCAAACCTGCCACTACTATCTAAAATCTTCGAAAAATTAATACACAAACAAATCTACTACTTCGTATCCCACAACATACTCAACCCTGATCAGTTTGGGTTCAGACCGAAAAAAAGTACTAATAATGCTATTATACGTGCTTGAACTAATATACTCTGCACTCGAGAAAAATGAATTTTCCCTGGGACTGTTCATAGACTTACAAAAAGCTTTTGATACAGTTGACCATGACCTTTTACACCAAAAACTTGAACATTATGGGGTCAGAGGACACTCTCGATTACCTAAAATCTTATCTTAACAATAGAACCCAGTATGTATACACAAATGAAGCCTGTTCCACTACACAACCTTTTCTTGTTGGAGTCCCACAGGGGAGCATTCTTGGCCCACTTCTCTGTCTCATTTACATTAATGGCCTACCAAATGCATCTAATTTCCTTAAACCCATTTTATTTGCAGATGACACAACTTATGTCTTTTCTCACCCAAACCCAATCATACTAACAGACACAGTAAATGCTGAACTGCTAAAAATATCTACTTGGATTATTACCAACAAACTTACTCTCAATATTGACAAAACCTACTTCATACTTTTTGGAAACAGAGCTTCAAATGTACAGCTAAACATATTGATAAATGGTTCACCTATCTTGAGACAGGCAGAGGGCAAATTTCTAGGTCTCCACCTGACTGCAGTCTCAAATTTCAAACACACATACAGCAAATTTCCAAGAAAGTCTCCAAAACAGTAGGCATCCTTTCAAAGATATGGTACTATGTACCCCAATCAGCTCTTCTAATTTTGTACCACTCACTCATTTACCCCTACCTCACCTATGGTATTTGTGCATGGGGCTCAACCACACCAAATCACCTTAAGCCTTTAATAACCCAGCAAAAAGCTGCAATGCGATTGATTACTTACTCCTGCATTACACAACACACTCCACCACATTTCAAGAGTCTTAATTTGTTAAATATACAAAACATCCACATTTATTATTGTGCCTACTACATACACAGAACACTATACTCTAATGTAAACCCTCTTCTCAAACTCCTCCTTGATAACTATAACAGAACACACAACCATAATACGAGACAGATCACTCTTCGATATTCCCCGTGTTCATCTCTCCCTATGCAAAAATGCTATGCGAGTAAAAGGCCCGAAGATCTGGAATTCATTGCCAGAACAAACTAAAGGCCCCCTGTCTGCAGATCAGTTTAAGGACCACTCTATCTCATCTAATGACCATATGACCATACCTTTAAGTTTGCCCAAAATGCTCAGCATACAGAGGGGCTTTTGGGATGTACACCCAACTATTATATTCCTCTGTACAACCATGTAATTTGTCAAAATAAAAAATCTAAATCTAAATCTATATTAACCCTTTGACTGTTTCGGCTGTATATATACGTCTTACGAGCCACCGTGTTTGACGTATATATACTCACAAATTCTACCGGCTTCAAATCAAGCAGGAGAAAGCTGGTAGGCCCACATGTGAGAGAATTGGTCTGTGTGGTCAGTGTATTTTTTTTTTTTTATTATTATCACGCCGGCCGATTCCCACCAAGGCAGGGTGGCCCGAAAAAGAAAAACTTTCACCATCATTCACTCCATCACTGTCTTGCCAGAAGGGTGCTTTACACTACAGTTTTTAAACTGCAACATTAACACCCCTCCTTCAGAGTGCAGGCACTGTACTTCCCATCACCAGGACTCAAGTCCGGCCTGCCGGTTTCCCTGAACCCCTTCATAAATGTTACTTTGCTCACACTCCAACAGCACGTCAAGTATTAAAAACCATTTGTCTCCATTCACTCCTATCAAACACGCTCACGCATGCCTGCTGGAAGTCCAAGCCCCTCGCACACAAAACCTCCTTTACCCCCTCTCTCCAACCTTTCCTAGGCCGACCCCTACCCCGCCTTCAGTGGTGGTCAGTGTGCACCATATAAAAAAATCCTGCAGCACGCAGTGCATAATGAGAAGAAAAAACTCCGACCAATTTTTTGGAATTAAATCGCCAACTTTGTGGTGTATTTTCGTATAGTATTTATGGTTGTATTCTCGTTTTCTTGGCCTTATTTGATAGAATGGAAAACATATTATAGAAATAGAGGTGATTTTGATTGATTTTACTATTACAAAAAAACTCGAAATGAAGCTCAAAGTAGGGGAAATGTTTGATTTTTGCCAATGTTCAAAAGTAAACAAATAATGTCATTGTCCAATAAATGTCCAACTAGCCATTCTAATATGCAGTCATGAATGGGTTGACATTATTTATACAATTATTATAATATTGCAGTAGTCTGCATAACAGTAAATCTTCTATTTTTTGTTTGAATAAAAATTCAAAGTAGAAAGCAAGAGTAATATCAAAGGGGCCTGGAGATGTGACTGATGAACAAAGAAAATGTTATTTTAGAGCCAGGAATGTCTGCATTGTTCATTCTGGACCCTATTTTGAAATTGGCACATTTTTTAACTTGCGTGAAATTGGCCAAATTGCCAATTTCTAAATGGAGTTCTAAAGAAATAGTTATGAGTTTGGTCGGCTGGAAGAATGGAATTAGCCAAAAATAGGGTTCAAAGTGGGCGAAATCGCTGATTTGTAAATACCGCTGAGTTCGCTAACTTCGCGAGAGTGTAATTCTGTAAGTTTTCAATCAAATTTCATTCTTTTGGTGTCATTACCATTGGGGAAAGATTCTCTCTCATTTCATAAGCTTTTTTTTTTTTTTTAACACCAGGAGACGCCTCAGGATTAGGGGTTTCGACAGTCAAGGGGTTAATGTAAAATAAGATACAGTATTTAATGTGCCCAAGAGTGATTATTAAACATACATACCATATAAACATTGCATGTTTATATGCTATGTAACATGTTTCTTATAAAATTTTAAAGAAAATATCATAGATGGATTAATGAAAATGTTTGTATTAACATAAAATAACACATTTAATGTGCCCAAGAGTGATTATTATTATGTATTAGCATTATTACTAGTATATGGCATTAAGACTAGAGGAACACTCTTAATGAACGAGTAACAAAGGCATGTTTATAGGCTATGTAATTTGTTTCTTATATAATTTTGAAGAAAATATCATAGATGGATTAATGAAAATGTCTATAGTAACGTAAAATAAGACATTTAAAGTGCCCAAGAGTGAGTCACGAACATATGAGCGGCCCAGACGGACGCGTCTGGTACGGACGATTTCCGAGCGAATGTACAAAACCTGTGGTAAAATTTCGCTGAAAAAAGTGGTCAAAATCTGAAATTTACGATATCTGCACAAGACGAAATCCGGGGGTCTACTGTACTTTGTTCTATTTAAAATCTTAAATACACATTCTTAAACATGTCAAGGTGAGCATAATGCCTCCTGCTGTTTTATTTTACTCTTGTCGTGTCTAATGCTTTAATATAATTTACCTCACCACTTATTGATGGCAACTTCTGTATGTTTTGAAGATACCTGATTAGTTTTGGATTAGTAGTTGCATTTTGTTTGTTTAGATATTAAAAACTCCCTCAAACATTTACCGCTTAACTAGAAGCTTCAGAAAAATATAGCAAATATCTTTGATTGTCATCAACTGTTTAAAAATTTCTTTCCAGACTTTGATGAAGAAGAGGCATCAATACAAGCAGCAAATATCCCTCCGAGTTTCAAACGTAGTCTGCAGTTTGATAGCCCTACTGTAGCAAAATCTGCACCCAAGGGAAATGTATCTTCAGAAAGCAGTAGGTGTCTTTTTGTAAATTGAAAAATTTGTCAAAAATAATGTTTCAATGATGTATGTGGCTGATTACAGTATGTAATATATAAGTAAATGTAAACTGTTTATTTTTATGATAGAGGTGTGGGGCATTGTATGTATATTAGAAATGAAGGTAGGTTATTAACCCTTTGACTGTCGCAAGCCCCTTTCTGAAACTGTCGTTCTGTCGCAAAATATTTGAAAAAAAAAAAAAATTTCTTACCAAAATGTTAGGATTATTTTACTGAGTGTTTTAAGCCTAAAAATTTTTTTTTTGCCATCAGTACTTACCGAGATATAGAGGCGCAAAGTTAGCAGAAAATGAGTGGCGTATGGCAACAGCGGTGAATGCCGCCCACCAGGTATTCTTTTATTTACTCCAGTTCGAAGGTTTCTTGTATTTTCCAATATTTTTCTTTTCTAAGTAACTTATGTGGCCTGTGAGACCAAAGTAAGGTGCATTGTTCAAATATACACTCATTGTTTACAACACAATAACTGAACAAACCTTATCGCTATTAGATTGTGTATAAAACTTTTTTACACAAATAATACAAAACATTGTTTATTACTATTGTTCCATAATATATATACATATGTACAGTCACTGAACACGTTCCTAGAACTGCTGCAGCTTGTGGAACTCTTTGAAACATGGGTATATGCAGAGTGGCACTTGACACTCCTCACACATAAAATGAGTGTCTCTGCGTGTTTGTGGGCGTTTTGTGGTATGTCCACATACAAAACACCTCTTCCGAGCACTTTTCTTGAAAGCAGTAGGACGCAGTTGTGTGGGTTAGTGATCACCAGGCTTCAAACAAGACGGTATGTGTTGGTAATTTCGTGGGCGCTGGTCTATTGCAGGTGTTGCTCCTTGGTACTTGGCGATTATTTGTCTGATGACTGACAAACAAAATTCACCATATTTAGGTTTGTTGTTGGTTCTCATCTTGTATATGGAAATATCAAGAAGATGAAAAAAAAGTTTTATATACCACTTATAACTCTTGCATACACAATCAGCAAACCCAATCTGCATGTCACATTTGTCCACTAAGTGCATATTGAGGTTGTAGTCCATGACAGCTGCAAGTTTTAGAATGGGTTCATTGGTCTGTCTATTGTGCCTGCCAGTGTGTGCCATTTTGTTTCGGTGAACTGATGTCAAGAATGTGACATCACGTTTGTCATGCCACCGAAATATCATGATGTCATTGGCAGCAAAGGCCTGCACCTCACCTCTGCGAGTGCCAGCGTTAAACCTTGGCATATGCTTATGATTACCACACACTGTGCCACATACGTCTGTCATGTTCACTCGCAAGAAATCACTGAGTATGTGGCTTGTGTACCATTTATCAGTATATAATATATGCCCCTTACGAAGATATGGTTCCATCATTGTTCGAACCACATCACCAGAGATACCCAATAACTTCCTGGTATCTCTCAATGTATTACTGCCAGTGTATAAAGTGATATCCAAAACGAGACCACTTTTGCAATCACACATTACAAATAACTTTATACCAAAGCATTTCCTCTTGCTTGGTATGTACTGCCTGAATGAGAGTCTTCCTTTGAACAAAATCAAAGACTCGTCAATAACAAGCTTCCTGAAGGGATAAAAATGCATGCAACACTTTTGTTTCAGGTACATAAACACATTTCTGATCTTATATAACCTGTCGGTTCTGTCAGGCCTTGTTTTGTCTGAAAAGTGTAACATACGTAACAGTATCAAAAAACAATTTACTCCTATGTCACTAAAACCTAGGGTTGAAATCAGGCATTCTGTTGATCAGTATGTGGTGACAGTGTGCTTATACACATGTGGCATAAGCATTATTGTGGCAAAGAACAGGTACATTTCTGCCACAGTTGTGTCCTTCCACTGGTGTAGCCTTGACCTTGGTAAAAGAACTGTATTTGCCATAGTGTACTCATAGTATGTGTTGGTTTCCCTGGCAATAATGTCCATCAGGGGTTCATCAAAGAATAACTGAAAGCATTCAAGTTCAGTGGCATTGTTCCCAAGTGTACACGATGGCTGTATTCCACTTTGTGTTTCATCAAAGTCATGGGGATTGGGAATAAAATCGTCACCTTGCTGCCAATCCCAGATGCGGTCTGCTGGTGGGCTCTGGATATTGAAACGTGGTTGTGGTTGTGCAGGTTGTGGTTGTTGTGGGAGTGTGGGGTTGGGTGAGGCTGGTTGTAGTTGTGCAGAGTCAGCAGCATCGGTAGTAGCGTGGCCCGCTGTTGGTGCCACATGACTCATGCCACCGTCAACATCACCACCATCACCTTCTTCCCCACGCACATTATACATCCCCATTGTAACAATATCATCATCTTCACTGTCAGGTCATGGTGTAGGGCCACAGGATGTACTCCCAGATTTACTCCTTTGCCTTGGAAGGGCATAAGGCACACTACCAGAATGCATGCTGCGTCGAACATACTGCCGTTTCACTGGCGAATATTCCCCCTCACTGTCACTACTCGAGCTGCTGTCAGTAACTTTGAAATCACTACAGTGGAACCTCTACTTGCGAGCATGTCCACATGCGAGTTTTTCCAAATACAAGCAGTCGATGGGTCGATTTTTTGCTTCCATACGCGAGCAAAATTTCCATAAGCGAGCAGACCTCAAGACAGGTTCCTTGACACTGGTGAGGGGCTCTTGCTCTTGATCTCGGGAATTATATCTCATTTGTTTGTTGGACTATCTTATTAAAATTTGGGCAATGTATGATGGAAAGATGCTTCTTAATGAACACCAAAAATGAAAGAAATCTAAGCATAAATAATGGAGTTCACTTCTCAGCAATTAGCCATCCCTTAGCGGTATTTTCGTATGGTTTTTATGGTTGTATTCTCATTTTTTTAGTCTCATTTGATAGAATGGAAGATATATTACAACGTTGTTAAATTAGACACATGTGCAAGTCTTGGGTATCTTTATTGAGGAAACGTTTCGCCACACAGTGGCTTCATCAGTCCATACAAAGGATAAACTTGAAGAACAGGAGGAGAATGAGACAATCAGTCCCTCAACCTTGAGTCGATGTGGTCAGTCCATCAATCTTGCATTCAATACGGATGGACTGACCACATCGACTCAAGGTTGAGGGACTGATTACCTCATTCTCCTCCTGTTCTTCAAGTTTATCCTTTGTATGGACTGATGAAGCCACTGTGTGGCGAAACGTTTCCTCAATAAAGATACCCAAGACTTGCACATGTGTCTAATTTAACAACGTGTCAGTTCTTTGAACCATTCATCTACAATGCTTTCACAACGAAAAATACCTTGAAATTGAGCTCAACATAGGAGAAATGGTCCATTGCTTGGCTATGTTTAAGAATAAACAAATTACCTATAATAATACATATAATAATAATAGTATAATAATACAATAAAAATAATAATAATAATATGTATAATAATAATGCATATATAATAATAATGTACCAAATATAATAATTATAATAACAGACGGCTTCAAAAGGCCGTCACTAGATAGCAGTGTTTACCACAACAAAGGGAGCGGTTGTGGCTGCCTCCACCTGTTACATAATGACATATTTTATCCATTCTAGAGTATATATCAGGTTTCTATGTGATTTATATTGTTTATTTCATATTAGACAAACTGCGATAAATAAATAAGCCGTAGAGTTGATGATAGTGAAATATTCAAGGAGTATGTTGTCCTATCTCCAGAGAAACTCTCGGCGGCCACCGACACCACCCATACCACTACATGAATGACATGTTTTATTCATTCTAGAGTATATATCATGTTTCTGTGTTACTTATATTGTTTGTTATGTCATATTAGATGAACTGTGATAGATAAATAAGCCGTATAGATGATATTAGCGAAATTATTCAAGAAATATTTTGTCTGGTCTCCAGACAAACTCTCAACCACCGCCGACACCGCCCATACCACTACATGAATGACATATTTTATTCATTTTAGAGTATATATCAGGTTTCTATGTTATTTATATTGTTTATGTCATATTAGATGAAGTGAAATGGATAAATAAGCCGTAGACTTGATATTAGCGAAATTATTGAAGCACGGAATTCCACTGGAATGGATTAATTGCATTTCAGTTAATTTAAATGAGGAAAATTAACTCTGCAAACGAGCAAATCCAGTTGCAAGCAAGGTCATGGAACGGATTAAACTCGCAAGTAGAGGTTCCACTGTATTATTATCACTTTCACTGCTCAGATCTGAGTCCTGTAAATGGGGAAGTAGTTTCCTTTTTTGTCCTGGTACAGGTAAACGTGAATGAGATGTGCCAGCACCAGAGGTGGACGGTTGTGGGTCATCAGAGTTTTCATCACTAATTACGTAATCCTGGGCACTGCTTTCGGTCACACCTTCTCCAAACACTTTCACTGGCACTTCCATCACTGTTAGAACTATCACTTGGGAACAGTAGACCTCCAATACGCCAAGGAGTGAGGTACTTCTTACCGCGAGGCATGGTGAAAATGGACTACTAACATGGCGTTCCCACAATGCACCACTGAGTCCCAGATTTTTTTCACAGGGTGCACACCCACCACTGAGACCCATTCTCCCTCATGTAGGCCTACCAGCTTTCTCCCGCTTGATTTGAAGCCGCTAGAATTTACGCGTTTAAACACGCCCGAAACATTGGCGCATTGCCACGCATAAGACGTATTTCTTTCTTTCAACACACCGGCCGTATCCCACCGAGGCGGGGTGGCCCAAAAGGAAAAACGAAAGTTTCTCCTTTTACATTTAGTAATATATACAGGAGAAGAGGTTACTAGCCCCTTGCTCCCGGCATTTTAGTCGCCTCTTACAACACGCATGGCTTACGGAGGAAGAATTCTGTTCCACTTCCCCATGGAGATAAGAGGAAATAAACAAGAATAAGAACTAGAAAGAAAATAGAAGAAAACCCAGAGGGGTGTGTATATATGTGCTTGTACATGTATGTGTAGTGGGACCTAAGTGTAAGTAGAAGTAGCAAGACGTACCTGAAAACTTGCATGTTCATGAGACAGAAAAAAGGACACCAGCAATCCTACCATCATGTAAAACAATTACAGGCTTTCGTTTTACACTCACTTGGCAGGACGGTAGTACCTCCCTGGGCGGTTGCTGTCTACCAACCTACTACCTAGGATAAGACGTATTTATACGACCGAAATAATCAAAGGGTTAATAGTCATTGGTACGTGCATTCATTGAGTTTGAGTGAGCTTAAATGGAAAATATAAGATGAGAAGGAGAAGTAGTTACTGACTGCTACAACCAGGGGTAGATGAATTGGTAGAGAATGAATAAAATAAAAATTACATGAGTTTTAACAGACAGAAAAATGGTTAGACTGAAAGTGGTTAGAATGAAAATAAAGATATAATTATTGGGTACTACACTCTTCTGTGGTGAAATAAAATAACTTTATAAGAAAATATTAAATAACTCTTAAGTGAGGTGCAATACTGTAAAGGAGAATATTAAGGCAAGGCTAAAGAAGATTAAACTTCGTGACTTTTTCTTTATACATTTTAAAATATAAATTAATAGATTAGACATACAGTGTAGTAATTTCACTCGGATGGAATCTGTAGGCTACACTAAATAATCCTGCCTTTCCAGGTAGTGCCATTCCCACCACACAAAAGTAGAAAATAGTATGGTAGTGTTGATAGCAAGGCGACAGAGGGAAAAGGATATTACTGTACTGCATTATTAAACCAACTGGTATTACAATGCTTAACCCTTTGGGGGTTTCGGCCGTATTAGTACGGCTTACGCCCCAGGGTTTTTGACGTACTAGTATGCTTAAATTCTAGCGCCCTCAAATCTAGTGAGAGAAAGCTGGTAGGCCTGCATATGAAAGAATGGGTCTATGTGGTCAGTGTGCGCAGTATAAAAAAAATCCTGCAGCACACAGTGCGTAATGAGAAAAAAAAACTTCGACCGTGTTTTTGGAATAAAACAGCGGCTTTGCACTGTATTTTCGTATGGTATTTATTGTTGTATTCTAGTTTTCTTGGTCTCATTTTATAGAATGGAAGACATATTACAGAAATTGAGATGATTTTGACTGGTTTTACAATGAAAAGTACCTTGAAATTGAACTCAAATTAGCAGAAATGCTCGATTTTTACCAAAGTTCAAAAGTAAACAAATCATGCCAAGCGTCCAATACACGTCAGCTGGTGAGTCTAATGTTCTTTCACAAGTGCGCTGATATTATTTATACCATTTGTACACTAATGCAGTAATCTGCGTAACAGTAAATCTTCTATTTTTTGTAAGAATAAAAATTCAAAGTGGAAAGCCAAAGAAATATAAGAGGGGCCTGGGACTGTGACTAACGAACAGAGAACTTGTTATTTTAGTGCCAGGAATATCTTTCTTGTTTATTCTGGACCCTATTTGGAAATTGGCATCTTTGGAAATTTGTGTGAAACTGGCAAAATTGTTAAATTCTGACCACTGTATTGGATAGTTCAAATTGGTAAATGGGTGGTTTCTTGTACTCATTCGATAGAAAAAAATGGAGTTCTAGCGAAATAGTTATGATTTTTGTTGACTAGTACATTGGAATTGGCCGAAAATAGGGCTCAAAGTGGGCAAAATCGCCAATGCGCAAACATCGTCGAGACCACTAACTTCGCGAGAGCATAATTCCGTAAATTTTCCATCAAATTTCATACCTTTGGTGTCATTATGATCGGGAAAAGATTCTCTATCTTTTCATAAGAATTTTTTTTTTTTTTTTTAAATTTTGGCGACCCTGAGAACAAGTCTGAGAGGGCCTGGCTACCCCCAAAGGGTTAAAGAATGCCTGTGAAATTTCTGTGGAGTAAGATGGATGTGGTTCAAAACAAGATACATTATCAAGATACTAAAATTATATACATATACACCTACCATCCGACTTACGACCTGCTCGACTTACGACCACTCGACTTACGACCGTGTTTCTTATGCCAAATTTCTGGGAAATAAACAACTATTTGTGTTGTACACAGTGTTTATCCTAAACCTTACAGTATAAAATACAGTACTAACAGCATAAAAAGTAAAGTAAAGCACGAAATACCAAAATAAAGCAATAAAATAGTCATTACAAAAATGTTTTGTTGATATTCAGTAGTAAAGTTCGACTTACGACTATTTCGACTTACAACTGGTCGACCGGTTTCTTGGAACCGAACTCGGTCGTAAGTCGGATGGTAGGTGTATATTTTTTAAGTCCATGAGGAAATGGAAAAGAGCTCTTCCTCCATAAGCCATGAGTGTCATGGGAGGAGACTGCAATTCCAGGAGCAAGGGACCAGTAATCCCTTCTTCTGTATAAATTACTTAATTTAAAAAGAAAAACTTTTGTTTTTCTTTTTAAATTTAGAAAATTTTCATTTTTCTTATTAGGTCACCCTGCCTTGGTGGGATACAGCCGTATTATTGAAAAAATATATACTATTTTTTTTTTTACTCAGTGGTCATCAAAGAAATAAACATATAATACTCTCAGATATGGTTGTAATTCCTGTTAGTGGACAATGAAGTAAAATGAAAGTTTAATCTTCCTTTATATTTTGTTACTAAAGGTTTATCTGAAATGACCTTGGTAGAGCAGACCCAAGATAGAAGTTATAATGCTCAGAAGAGACTCTTGGATGATGTGTTAGAGGATGGCTTAGACCGATACCTCAATGAAGACATAACGGGAAATAGTAAGTAGAGTATTGATACGTATCTTGTATAAGACTAATACTGTGGCAGAGTATCTCTCACAGATACAGCATTCTTCTACCTCAATATCGTCTTAGACACTTTTTTGTTTCTTTGTCAGTAGAAAATGTTTACATTTTAATTTTTGAAAGTACTTTGCATATATGCTGTGGTAATAATAAATTGTATGGCCTCTTTGATTTTCTAATGATTTCTCAGAAATAAATCACAGAAGCAATTTTTTTGTGAGACATTCTATGCACTTTGATCCATCCAGACTGTGACGTCTAAAATTTTGCATTTTTTTCTATTTATTTTCTACATCCAACACAGACCACTTAATAAATATTGTATTACTGTGTTATGAGTGTTATGTTGCAGACTTAAGAGAAGTTACTTAATTTTTGTACTGTGCTTCAGGAAAGAAAAGACTCAAACCATTGGTTCCTTTAGTGGGTATAGGTGTCAAAGACCCAAAATCAGATGAAGCAGCCCATGAAGCAGACCTCTTCCTCATTGAACGAATTACAGAAATACGGAAAAGTCTCCACGTCAGTGAGTTCTTGGAGTCTGCATCAGTAACTGTTACTGAAAGGTGTGCTTTTAATTTTTTTATAAGCTACATGTAAATTTAATTATTGTAGTGTTCAGTGGCTATGTTATTACTGCATTTTGTGTTTTCCACACCAGTAGTATTTTGTAGACGTGATGATTTTTGTAATTATCCATGTGAACACTCCTGATCTCTCACTTGATTCTTGCACTGTATTTTATGTTCTTCACTGTCTTTTCCAATTAAGTTTGTTAGCAAATTTTATAGTGGTAAGACAATTCTCAGGATGCACACTGAACTGCGTTATATTGTTGTTTAGTGATTTACTGATATGTACAGTTGAATTTCAGTTGTCGATTGCATTACTTGTTGGATAAATCGGTTTTCAAATGAGGTGTTTAAGAAAAAAGAATTGTCCTGGTTTTCGTAAGTTCTCTTAGTTGTCGACGGACAAGTTTTTGTGTGTATGGTGGGTATGAGTCAGTGTAGCCACTAACTCATGTGCTGTAAACATCTCTTGAGCTCATTTGATGTGCATCTTGTGAACTTTCATCATTATTTTGCAGTTTTGGTGCAATTTTTTTAATTGTGAGATAAGCCATCATGGGTCCAAAGAAGGATAAAGAGATGGAAGCAAAAAGAAAAGTTGTAAAAAGCACTGTTGAATTTTAAAAAGAATTTATTAGAAAGGAGGAGCATCAGCAGATTGCGGCAGAGGAGCTGCCATCAGATGAAGAGGAGGGAAAAGATGATGTGCCCATTGCTCTTGTCAAGGTGCTAAATGGCGTGAAGTGCAGGAGTTTGCTGAAAAAAATACCGTCCAGACAAAGCAGTGGCCATCTGTTCTTCTAACATGTACAATGACAGTGTAATGTCTCAATTTAGACAAGTGTTAAAATGGAGCTTGAAACGAACCTCACTGGACAGCTTTTTGGTGAGACAAAGAACCAGTGATCCAGAACAAGGTGTTAGTGGTGAAAAGAGACAAAGAGAAGAAACAACACCAGAAGGACAGTTGCCTGACATATTAATAGAAGGTGACTCTTTCCAGAGAGCAAGGAGCTAGTAACCCCTTCTCCTGTATATATTACTAAATGTAAAAGGAGAAACTTTAGTTTTTCTTTCTGAGCCACCCTGCCTCGGTGGGATATGGCTGGTGCGTTGAAAGAAAGTAAGACTCTTTCCAAGCAGTAACATACCCCCTCCTTTCCTCCTCCTGTTTCCAGTATGCCATTAGCTCTTCTGGCCAGTAAGGGACAGTTAAATTTTCATTTACTGTACAGTATTTCAGTAATGTTAAATGATCAGTTATGGAAGGAGAAAAGAGAATATGAATGTGTAAATTCAAGAATTATGTGGATTAAAGTAAAGGTTGGATGCGAGAAGTGGGTCATAATAAGCGTGTATGCACCTGGAGAAGAGAGGAATGCAGAGGAGAGAGAGAGATTTTGGGAGATGTTAAGTGAATGTATAGGAGCCTTTGAACCAAGTGAGAGAGTAATTGTGGTAGGGGACCTGAATGCAAAAGTAGGGAAACTTTTAGAGAGGGTGTGGTAGGTAAGTTTGGGGGTGCCAGGTGTAAATGATAATGGGAGCCCTTTGATTGAACTTTGTATAGAAAGGGGTTTAGTTATAGGTAATTACATATTTTAAGAAAAAGAGGATAAAAAAGTATACACGATATGATGTAGGGCGAAATGACTTTAGTTTGTTGGATTTTTGTTTTGGGTAGATAAAAGACTGTTGATTTAGACTTCAGGATGTACATGTTTTAGAGGGGCCACGATATATCAGATCACTTTCTAGTTGTAGCTACACTGAGAGTAAAAGGTAGATGGGATACAAGAGAATAGAAGATCAGGGAAGAGAGAGGTGAAGGTTTATAAACTAAAAGAGGAGGCAGTTAGGGTAGATAAAAAACAGCTATTGGAGGATAGATGGGCTAATGAGAGCATAGGCAATGGGGTCGAAGAGGTATGGGGTAGGTTTAAAAATGTAGTGTTAGAGTGTTTCAGCAGAAGTTTGTGGTTACAGGAAAGTGGGTGCAGGAGGGAAGAGGAGTGATTGGTGGAATGATGATGTAAAGAGAGTGTAAGGGAGAAAAAGTTAGCATATGAGAAGTTTTTACAAAGTAGAAGTGATGCAAGGAGGGAAGAGTATATGGAGGAAAAAGAGAGAGGTTAAGAGAGTGGTGAAGCAATGTAAAAAGAGAGCAAATGAGAGAGTGGGTGAGATGTTATCAACAAATTTTGTTGAAAATAAGAAAAAGTTTTGGAGTGAGATTAACAAGTTAAGAAAGCCTAGAGAACAAATGGATTTGTCAGTTAAAAATAGGAGAGGAGAGTTATTAAATGGAGATTAGAGGTATTGGGAAGATGGAGGGAAAATTTTGAGGAATTGTTAAATGTTCATGAAGATAGGGAAGCTGTGATTTCGTGTATAGGGCAAGGAGGAATAACATCTTGTAGGAGTGATGGAAGAGCCAGTTGTGAGTGTGGGGGAAGTTTCGTGAGGCAGTAGGTAAAATGAAAGGGGGTAAGGCAGCCGGGATTGATGGGATAAAGATAGAAATGTTAAAAGCAGGTGGGGATATAGTTTTGGAGTGGTTGGTGCAATTATTTAATAAATGTATGGAAGAGGGTAAGGTACCTAGGGATTGGCAGAGAGCATGCATAGTTCCTTTGTATAAAGGCAAAGGGGATAAAAGAGAGTGCAAAAATTATAGGGGGATAACTCTGTTGAGTGTACCTGGTAAAGTGTATGGTAGAGTTATAATTGAAAGAATTAAGAGTAAGACGGAGAATAGGATAGCAGATGAACAAGGAGGCTTTAGGAAAGGTAGGGGGTGTGTGGACCAGGTGTTTACAGTGAAACATATAAGTGAACAGTATTTAGATAAGGCTAAAGAGGTCTTTGTGGGATTTATGGATTTGGAAAGGCGTATGACAGGGTGGATAGGGGGGGCAATGTGGCAGATTGTGCAAGTGTATGGTGTAGGAGGTAGGTTACTGAAAGCAGTGAAGAGTTTTTACGAGGATAGTGAGGCTCAAGTTAGAGTATGTAGGAAAGAGGGAAATTTTTTCCCAGTAAAAGTAGGCCTTAGACAAGGATGTGTGATGTCACCGTGGTTGTTTAATATATTTATAGATGGGGTTGTAAGAGAAGTAAATGCGAGGGTCTTGGCAAGAGGCGTGGAGTTAAAAGATAAAGAATCACACACAAAGTGGGAGTTGTCACAGCTGCTCTTTGCTGATGACACTGTGCTTTTGGGAGATTCTGAAGAGAAGCTGCAGAGATTGGTGGATGAATTTGGTAGGGTGTGCAAAAGAAGAAAATTAAAGGTGAATACAGGAAAGAGTAAGGTTATGAGGATAACAAAAAGATTAGGTGATGAAAGATTGAATATCAGATTGGAGGGAGAGAGTATGGAGGAGGTGAACGTATTCAGATATTTGGGAGTGGACGTGTCAGCGGATGGGTCTATGAAAGATGAGGTGAATCATAGAATTGATGAGGGAAAAAGAGTGAGTGGTGCACTAAGGAGTCTGTGGAGACAAAGAACCTTGTCCTTAGAGGCAAAGAGGGGAATGTATGAGAGTATAGTTTTACCAACGCTCTTATATGGGTGTGAAGCGTGGGTGATGAATGTTGCAGCGAGGAGAAGGCTGGAGGCAGTGGAGATGTCATGTCTGAGGGCAATGTGTGGTGTGAATATAATGCAGAGAATTCGTAGTTTGGAAGTTAGGAGGAGGTGCGGGATTACCAAAACTGTTATCCAGAGGGCTGAGGAAGGGTTGTTGAGGTGGTTCGGACATGTAGAGAGAATGGAGCGAAACAGAATGACTTCAAGAGTGTATCAGTCTGTAGTGGAAGGAAGGCGGGGTAGGGGTCGGCCTAGGAAGGGTTGGAGGGAGGGGTAAAGGAGGTTTTGTGTGCGAGGGGCTTGGACTTCCAGCAGGCATGCGTGAGCGTGTTTGATAGGAGTGAATGGAGACAAATGGTTTTTAATACTTGACGTGCTGTTGGAGTGTGAGCAAAGTAACATTTATGAAGGGATTCAGGGAAACCGGCAGGCCGGACTTGAGTCCTGGAGATGGGAAGTACAGTGCCTGCACTCTGAAGGAGGGGTGTTAATGTTGCAGTTTAAAAACTGTAGTGTAAAGCACCCTTCTGGCAAGACAGTGATGGAGTGAATGATGGTGAAAGTTTTTCTTTTTCGGGCCACCCTGCCTTGGTGGGAATCGGCCAGTGTGATAATAATAAAAAAAATATTTCGGTTAAATTTTCATTTAGTATTCATTTTTACAGTTTCCCTGTGCTTTATAATTTTGTACATTGTTTTATGTAATAGTACATTATTAACCCCTTAACTCACCAAACATAGATCTATGTTCTCACTGCTAGCGCTCCAAACATAGATCAACGTTCTATTTTTCCTGCCTCTGAATTTGGCATGATTGGCCTGAGATGCCTGGTCAGTATAGAATGGTGTGCACAGTACTAAAAAAATCTGGGAGCACTTAGTACAGTGGACCCCCGACATTCGAAGGCATCGACATTCGGTAAATCCGGCATTCGATGCATTTTAACGCAAAAATTTTGCATCGACATTCGATGGAAAACCCAACATTTGATACGATTTCTTGACAGTGCCTCTCCCACTCCATCATCTGCTCTCCTTTTGCACTCTCTCACCACTCTCTTCACCTTTCTTTTGCTCTCCATATGCTTTGCTCTTCTTATAACACTTCTGCTTTGTAAAAACCTCTCATAAGCTAACTTTTTCTCTTTTATCACACCCTTTACTTCATCATTCCACCAATCACTCCTCTTTCCTCCTGCCCCCACCCACCTATAACCACAAACTTCTACCCCACATTCTAATACTGCATTTTTAAAACTCATCCAACCCTCTTCAACCTCCCCACTACTCATCTTTGCACTAGCCCACCTTTCTGCCAATAGTCACTTACATCTCACCCTAACTTCCTCCTCCCTTAGTTTATACACTTTCACTTCCCTCCTACTTGTTGTTGCCACCT